ACTGCTTTTTGACCCAGCAATTCCACTGCTGGGATTATACCCTAAGAATCCCCAAAGACCAATTCAAAAGAACCTATGCACCCCAATGTTCATAGCAGCACAGTTTACAATAGCAAAGTGTTGGAAGCCATCTAAGTGCCAATGGATAACTGAGTGGATCAAAAAAACTATGGTACATTTACACACTGGAATACTATACAGCAGAAAGAAGGAAGGAACTCCTATCTTTCTTGACAGCATGGATGGAACTAGAGAGCATTATGCTAAGTGAAATAAGCCAGGGGGCAAAAGACAAATACCATATGCTCTCATCTATAAGTGGAACCTAATCAACAAAACAAACAAGCGAGGAAAATAGAACCAGCAACATTGAAAGAAAAAAACCAACAGAGTCAAGAGGGAAGGAGGGGAGTGGGGGGCGTGAGGAAAGGGAAGGGGAGGGTCAAGTTAGGAACATGTATAGAGGACCCATGGACAAAGTGGGGAAGGATTGAGGGAGGGAGGGGGGAGGGGAGCAGGGGAAAGTGGTGGCAAGAAGGTGGAGACAAATGTATTTGAACAACAACAAAAAAAATCTGCTCTTTCAAAGACAGAATGAAAGGACAAGTCCAAAATACACTTGTACCTGCACTACCTAAAGAACTCAAGAATAATGTAATGAAAGCTGACAAAAGTTTTGTATAGCTACTTTACCTAGGATATTCAAATGGCAAATAAGCACATGAAAAGATACTCCACATTTGCTATTACAGAAATGCAAATTAGAACCACAATGAAATACACCATTAGAATGGCTAAAATAAAAAAGACTGACCATACCAACTGTTTTTGTTTTAATCCTTTTTTAATTTATTTTTTATATGCCCCCCACCTTAGGCAGCCATCAGTTTGTTTGTAGCTGTGGGCCCGTCTCAGTTTTGTTTATTCTTTTATTTTACATTCGACAAATAAGTGAGATCATATGGTATTTGTCTATCTCTGTCTACCATTTCATTTAGCATTAATAGCCTCTGGGTCCATCCATGTTGGGAAGCTGTCATTCTTTTTTATTGCTGAACAATATTCCATTATATATATGTACCACATCTTTCTTCATTCATCTATTGATGAACAGCTAGGCTGCTCCCATATCTTGGCTACTGTAAATAATGCTGCAGTGAACATAGGGGTGCTTATATTTTTTCAAATTAGTGCTTTTTTATTCAGATAAATAGAAGTGGAATTGCTGGATCATATGGCAGCTTTATTTTTAATCTTTTGAGGAACTTCCATACTGTTTTCCATAGTGCCTGCACTAATTTACAATCCTACCAACAGGATATGAGGGTTCCCTTTTCTCCACATCCTCTCCAACACTTGTCGATACAGTGAAGATAGCCATTCTGGTAGATGAGAAGTAATAATATCTCATGATTTTAATTTGCATTTCCTTGATGATTAGTGATGTTGAACATTTTTCATGTCTTTTGGCCACCTGCATATGCTCTTGGGAGAAATGTCTATTCAGGTCCTCTGCTCATTCTTTTAGTTGGATTTTTTTTTTTTTTTTTTTTTTTTTGGTGCTTCATTGGATCAGTTTTTTATATATTTGGAATATTAATTATTTTTAGATGTTTCATTTTTAGATATCTTCTTCCGTTCTATAGGTTGTCTTTTCATTTTTTTGATGGTTTCCTTTGCTGTGCAAAAACTTTTTATTATGATGTAATCCCATTTGTTTATTTTTGCCTTTGTGTCCCTACTCAAGGAGATCTATCCCAAAAAATATTAATAGCAGTGTCAAAGAGTTTACTGCCTATGTTTTCTTCTAGTTTTATGGTTTCAGGTCTAACATTTAAGTCTTTAAGCCATTCTGAGTTTATTTTTGTGCATAGTATAAGAAAGTGATCCAATTTCTTCTCTCTATGCATGTATTGGTCCAGTTTTGCCAACAGCACTTACTGAAGAAACTGTCTTTACCCCATTGTGCATCCTTGCCTCCTTTAAAAGGATCAGAAAGGATTAAAGCAATAATGGCCGAGCCCTGGTTGGCATGGCTCAGCTAGTTGGAGCATCATCCCACAGACTGAGATGAGATCATGGTTTTGACTCGCAACCAGGGCACATGCCCAGATTGTGGTTCGATCTCCAGTTGGGGCACATTTAAGCAGGCAACCAATCGATGTGTCTCTCTCACATCGATAGTTCTCTCTCTTTCCCTCTCTCTAAAAGCAATTAAAAAAAAAGTCTTGGGTGAGAAGAAAAAGAAAAAGAAAAAAAGAATGGCTAATAACTTTTCTAACCTGGGGAAGGAAACACATCCAGGTCCAGGAAGCACAGAGAGTTTCAAACAAGATGAAACCAAAGAGGCTCACACCAAGACCTATTGTAGGTAAAATAGCAAAAGTTAAGGACAAAGCAGCAATCCTGAAGAAAGCAAGAGAAAAATGAGTTACATACAAAGGAAACCCTATCAGTTTATTTCTCAGCAGCAATTTTACAGACCAGAAGGAAGCAGCAGGACATCTTTAAAGTGCTGAAAGAAAGGAACCTACAACCTAGAATACCCAGCAAGTTTATCCAGAATTGACGGTGAAATAAAGAGTTTCCTGGACAAGCAAAAACTAAAAGACTTCATCACCATTAAACCAAGTTTACAAGAAATGTTAAAGGGTCATTTTTAAGTAGAAAAGGGAGGGCCATACCTAGAAATAAAAAACTATGAGAAAGGGGAAAACCTTACATGTAAAGCCAAATACTTAATAAATACAGCAAATCAGACATTTTCAAAGCTCCTATGAAGGTTTAAAGAAAAAAGTATCAATCTATAAGAAGTAGTTAGGAGGTACACAAGACACAAGTATCTAAAAGTCTGACATCAGAACATAAAACATGAATTGTGGAGTGAAAATGTAGTCCTTATGGAATATATTTGAACTTAAATGCCTGTCAGCTTAAGATACACTGCTATAGATCAAGAATGATCTACATAAACCCAATGGTAACTAAGAACCAAGAACCTACAGAAGATAGGCCAAAACAAAGAGAAAGGAACCCAAACAAACACTAAAGAAAAACAACAAACCACAAGGGAAGAGATCAAGAGAAGAAAAAAGGAACAGAGAAGAATTATAAAACAACCAAAAAACAATGAACAAAATGGTAATACTTAACGAATAATTACTTTAAATGTAAATGGAGTAAATGCTCCAATAAAAAGACATAGGCTGAGTGGATTTAAAAACACCCATTTTTATGCTGCTTACTAGAGTCTTACTTCAAATCAAAAAACACATACAGACTGAAAATGAAAGGATGGACAAAGATACATCATGCAAATAGGAATGAAAAGAAAACTGGATTAGCAATACTCAGACAAAATAGATTTCAAAAAAAAGAAGCTCCAACAACCATAAATATCTACACACCCAACATAGGAGCACCTAACAATACAGTATAAAGCAATTGTTAATGGACAGAAGGAGAAATCCACAGTAATACAACTAGTGTTGGTATGATGAGTGATGTTTTACTTGAAAGCTGGACATTTTGGGTATTACATTAAGAGACTCTGGGACTGACTTAAGCCTTCTGTTTTAGCAGGCTACCTCTGCAAAACTCCACTCCAGCAGAGAGGAAGGCCGCCTCTTTGTAACCTAATGTGGGTGGAACTGTAGGCTCTTCATTAGCCATTGCTGGTGTGGGTGTGCAGTGGGACCACAGTTTCTTGTGTGGTGTTTAGCTAGAGTAAAATGATTATTGTCTAAAAGTTTTCTTTCCTTCTAGGCTTCCCCTTTTCTTGTTCTTTAAGTAGAGAGAGCCAGCTTTGTTGGGTTTTTGTTTTGTTTGTTTTGGCGGGGAGTGGGTCTGCACCTGTTGGTGTTTCCAGATTGCCAGCTTCTTCAGCTTCAGGTCTGAAATTTATGAGGTAAAAAGTAAATCCAGAGACTTCACCACCATGTTGTGTGACCCTTGGATTCCAAGGTTCCTAGCCAGTCTTTCTTCATCTCTCTACCTTTCAGAAACTTCTTACGTTTGTTTTATATATAATGTCCCAGGTTTGCAGTTGGACTTAATGAGAGAAACAGGGAAAGTACCTCCACCCCATCTTTTAGGAAGCAGAATCTCCTTATTTTCTTATTTGCCAAATTACATTTTTAGGTAGTGAGGGAAAGGAAGACTTAGTAGAGAAAATATACTGTTATTTCTCTCTCAGTCATTGTTTTCCTCCTGCATACTACAATGACCAGAAGTGCTAAAATAATCATCAAAGTCTGAAAGCTGTTCTGATAATTTTTCCTTTTCCAGGAACTCAAAACAAAATGGTCGCTTTATAATTTCATTTTAAATTAGAGGTATGTTGATGCTCCTGATTTTACTTATGATCAGAGAGGAAATAATTGTATATTTTAAAAATCATTTCATTAGAGAGACAACTCACTCACTTTATAAATGGGATTGGGAGTGTAGCAAGTTTGAGAGTGGAAGTAACGGTTCACTCTAGTCCCGAAGCAGAAGTAAATCTGGACTTTCAATTCAGTTTTTCCCCCTGCTGAACCATGTTGCTTCTAGTAACAGTTTCTTTTATTGGGATTTTTAGGAAGACAATGGAGTGGAACCTCAGTTCTCAAAATTAATTCATTCAGGAAAACAAGAAGTGATTTGTTCAAAAACCAAATCTCCTTTGTTGCCTGAGAGACGCGGAATGACTATATAGGTATCAGCACGAAAGGATTGTCGGGTAGAGAATCAAGACCTGAAATTTTGTTAGACAACCGAGACTTTTTCCATGAACAACTTAGTCAGGAACCAAATTGTTAGATCCAAGACATTCGAGAACCAAGGTTTGACTATATAAATTTATGTCAGCAAGGAATGCATTGAATTACAAATAAAAAATCCTTCAGAGGTTTAGATAGAGGTTTATCTGTATCATGCAACAAAATGCTTTCATCTCTGAAAAAAATAATTGTGAATAAATAAATCAATGCACAAACCTCATGTATTTACACCCCCTTTAGATACACAGACACAAGGTCAACTCTGTCCAATGCTGCTGAGAGATTAAATAAGGACTGAGAATTAACCATTGCATTTGATGACATGGAGTTTATAATCCTCAACATGGACTATCAGTGGAATTCTGGGAACAAAATCCTAATTCAAGTAGTCTAACAATGATTTGAGGTAAGAGAGTGAAACTAGCAAGTATGAATGACTCGAGGTGTTTTGCTGTAAATGAGAGCAGAGACTGGAAGAGCTGAAGGAGAGAGGTCAAGAGAGGCATTTTTGTGTGCTTAAGATTTAAGCTATTACAGCATTTTTTTAAAGCAGAGTATCGATTCTATTTAGAATGGAAAAAAATTGATAATGCAAGGAGAGGAGGGATTATTGCAAAGCTGAGTCTTAGAAACAGAGAGGAAGGGATCTGGTGCCCAAAAGCAACAGTTGATCTTGGTGAAAGCAAAAACACAGTTTATCAATTATATTAGAGAAAAACGGAATTTTTAAAGGTTTGTTAGTAGATGTGGTGGTACTTAGACTAAGGAGCTCTCTTTGATTGCACCTGTTTTCTTGGTGAAATAAGCAAGGCCATCAACTGAGAATGAGTAAAGAGGAAGTGTACGTAGAGTTTTGAATAGAGAAGAGAACATATGAAATGGAATACATATAAATGAAATAACATTTTACTGGTGATCCTAACCAACACATTAAGACAAGAAAAAATCAAATATTAGAAAGCAAGAAACTAAACTGTTACTAACACATAATATACGTCCACATAGAAAATCCAAAATGATATACTAAGTACTAGAATTACTGAGTTTAGAAAGATAGCTAAATATAAGATCAATGTACAAAAACCGCCTTTAAGAATATACATTATATAAAGTAAAAAAGATTAGGAAGCAAGAGATAAAGCTAATGGAATATATAAGATTGTTACTTACTCTGATTTATAGATTTAATTGAATTCCAATCAAAATTCCAAAGTTTTGGAAAAACTTGACAAGCTGATTCTTACATTATGGATTCTTTTGTTATAGAAGAGCAAAACCCCACCAAATAACCAAGACATACCTAATGGCAGGGGAATATGCCCTTAATATGGTAACATGTTAAGGAGCGACAAACTGACCAATGGAATAAAAGAATTATTTAAGAAAAAACCTATGCAAATGTGTAAATTTGAAATATGATGTAGGTGATAGTGCAGATTCAATGCCTAGAAAGTGCCTAGCACATACTAGGTGTTGAGTATATTTGTTGAGTTACTGTTGGAATAAATAAATGACTAAAAATGAGTAATCTTTTTAATACTTGATGCTGAGATAATTGGTTATCCATATTTTTAAAAGAGAACTAGTTTCCTCCCTCAGACTGTAATTAAAATCAATTTGAGAAAATTAAAAACCTAAATGTGAAAAGTAAAACTTTAAAAATTTTTAAAAGGCTGTGGAATAATATCTTTTAGGCTTTACAGTAAGGAAGGATTTCTTAGACAAAAAAAATTGTTCATTATGAATGAGTTAATGACAAGTTCAGCTATATTAAAATGAAAATGAGTAAATTATATTTACATGAAACTACATATATCTCAGAAAACTAAGTTAAAAGAAATTACAGAAGACTACAATATGAATCTTTTTACTAAGCTCAAAAAGAACCAAAGCAAACTATTGAATGAGTATACTTTGACATTTGGTTAAAAACAATTCTAAAGAAGCAAGGGAATGATAAACTTTAAAACATGCTTACTTTGGAGGAAGAAAGGGGATTGGGACCAAGGAAGAGCATATGGGGGATTCAAAAGCACTGATAATGTTCTAGTTCATAATTTGGGTGGTAGGTTTATGTGTGTTTGATTTATTATTATACTTCATTATGAAAGATGTTCCATAAATTTGGGGGGATGTATCAAATATTACATAATAAAAACAATTAAATGGGAAAAAACAAAATAAAAATGCATGGTAAAATATGCCCAGTGAGGCTTGGAGACAACCGCTGTGAATGGAGGCAATGCTCACCTATGGCTCATCTCAGCTTAACTCATTGTTTATTGTATACAGTAATAAATCTTAGCTCATTGTTTACTGTCTAATCAACACTGTCTGCTCATCATGCATCATTCTGCTCCCTACATCCACCACCTTGTTCAAAGCAAGGTACTGGCTGTCCTCCTGCCTTCCTGCATCTATTCCATTCCACTTCCATCTCAGCTTCCTCATTACTACCAAAACCACTCTTGTCCCTGGCATTAGGGCTAAGTTACAGTGTCTTTCTCTGGCTGCCCTAGAGACAGCAGGGGTTTAGTTTTGTCTTCTCCTCCTTCAAATATGCACATATTCCTTTCTCCATGGGTTGAATTCTGCCTTCAGCAGAAAAGGATCACTATCACTCTGGTTCCCACCCTTCCCCCCTGCAAAAAATAGACCCATTATGATTTATTTTGGAGAAAAAAGGAAAATTATTTATTCATATGTGTGAAGTTTTGGTTGTAGTTAATTATGCTACATGGCTGGGACAATTAGATGATTTACTAGAAGAAACATGGAACAGAGAAAAAAGTCTTGTAGTGGTTTGTTCAACCAGTTATCATCCTCTTTAAAGTGTTGTGGCTTTTGGTTTTTTAAGTAAAGAATATATTTTCATGCCCCCCATAATTATTTAAAAATATAACTATAGTACTATAATAATTCATATATGCAACAAATATTAAGTATTTTGTGCCATGGATACATCAGTGAGCAAAGCAGATAAAGTGATTCATGGTGTTTACATTCTATAAGGAGGAACAAACAATAAAGAATACATATAATTTCAGTAAATATTTTTAAATGTGTATAGTATATTGTGACAGGAACAAAAACAAAGAGAAAAAGGTTCCAGAGTTTGAGGGAAACATGTATAAAGGACACATGGACAAAGTCAAAGTGGGGAAGGATTGAGGGAGGGAGGTGGGGAAGGGGGGCAGGGGAAAGTGGTGGCAGGAAGGTGGAGACAAATGTATTTGAACAAAAAATAAAAATTAAAAAATTAAAAGTGAAAAATTCCAACCAAAAAAAAACCCCCACAAGTTTAAGGGAGGTTTGGAGAAGAGAGACTGAAATGGAGTATTTGGCTAAGACAGGCCTCTTTGAGAATCCTTTTTAAAAAGTTTTTACCCAAGGATATATCGATTGACCTTTTTTTTAAGATTTTATTTGTTTTTAGAGAGAAGGGAAAGGAAAGAGAGGGAGAAAATCACCAATATGAGAGAAGCATCAGTTGGTTACCTCTCATATATACCCCGACCTGGGACCAAACCCACACCCCAGAAATGTGCCCTGACCAGAATCAAATGGGAATTGAACCAATGACCTTTCACTTTTCCAGACCAACACCCACCCAATGGAGCCACACTAGTCCGGGCTATCCACTGGCTTTAGAGACAGAAAGAGAGAGAGAGAGTGGAAAGAGGAGAGAGAGAAAACATCGATTGGCCACTCCCCACACACCCCTGAACCAGAGATCTAACAACCCACAACCTTTGAAAAAGTAGAGTGAGGGTGTCGTCTGAGAGAAAGGTGTCCAAGCAAAGAGAATAACCAAGAAAAAGGTCCTGAGAGGGGAACATGTCTCACTTGTATAAGTGTAACGGAGTTCAGTCAGGAAAGCAGAATCACTATAGGTGATATGGAATAAGGGATTTATTAAAAAGATTGGGCCTCTTGTAATCTCAGGAGCTGGTGAAAAAAACCTGTGGGAGGAGGTTTCCTCTGCATCTGGTGGTAGATATGAAGTCATGGTAGACCAGCAGGACCAGCAGTTGGGAAGGGAAGCTGAACATGAGACAGAGAAGCCAGGAAACTGGAGAACTGGAATCTGTGATGCCAAACCAGAACACACACATGCATACACACCTGCCCTGCCCCCTTCTCTTTCTGCTTCCCACCTCAACTGCTCAGGTGAACTGCAGAAGCAGCCTTGTCCTTCACTGCAGAGCTGCGTGTGCCTCAGAGGAGATGAAAGATAACATGGCAGCTGGCCCTCATCAACCAAGTGAGCCAGCAGATCAGCAATGATAAACATGAATTGCAGCAGCACTTGGCACCTTACTCCTCTTTCACAGCATCCTGGTCGCTGCTTCACTGCTGCCTTCCAAATATCACACCTAGTACTCGAGGCCATTGCCAAGAAAGAGATGGGAATTCTGGGACAGGTAGTTCAAGCTACTAAGGTGACATACTTTAAAATAACAGTGAGGAAGAGCAAGAAAGCCAATGTTGCCAGACTGAGGTGAGCATGGGGGAAAGTAGTACAGGATAAAGTCAGAGATGTGTATTGGGATCCAGGTAATAATGGGTTTTATAGGCCTCTGTAAAGACTTGGGCTTTTACTTGTAGTGAAATGGGGACCCTGTTGCAGGGTTTTAAGCTAAGGAGTAATTGTTACTTCCAAAGCGTAACAGAAATAACTGAACAGTTTACAATACAATAGCTAGCCCTGATATATATCATCTTATAAAGAATGAGTTAGAATAAAAGGAAATGTCAGAAATCAATGGATAGCAGAAACGTCATTCAATAATCGGTATTGAGAAAACTGGACATGTGGGGAGAAGCAAGTTAGATTTTCATACAATTCCCCAAAGTAAATTTCAGATTGATTAAATAAGTAAATGCATAATATTTAAAGTAGAAACACAAATGGCTAATAACCGTTCTGGAAAATAATTTTATCCAACAAATATTGATTAAATATCTGCTAAGTTATATGCACGGGATACAAATATGATGAATGTTCTATTCCTGTGGTTAAAGAGCCCATATTCTGCTAAACTATTTTGTAATATATACCTAGAGTCTTGAAATTGCACAAGGTAAAATATTTTCTCACTATAGAGTCTGGTGTATAAAAATGTAGCTTCCTGAGTTATTTTCTATAACTCATCATATCCATTTTGAGGCTTTATTAATACAACCTTATATAAATTTTTGGTAAATTTATTTCATATTAAACTCAGTTATTTCCTTTTTTTTAATGTTTTCCCTCCTCTCCAATGTTGCAATTAGATTCTGGGGACCTTGCATTTCATCAGAGCGTGCCATTTGTCCCTGATGGCCTCGTTCCCCATCTGGTCTTGGATAAGGCCACCATAACCCCCATATCAAATACATTGACATGTTCTTGGCACCAGTTATTAGTCCTTAGAGCTTGGTATTCCTCAACCTCACTCACTCCCAAGTCCCCTTCAGGTTTGCCACCTGCTGTCAGCCATTTCCCACTTGTTTCTGGATGTTCCTGCACTGCTTAGGAGCATGAGAGACTGAAAACTATTCCAACGTCCCTCTGCCCACACAGCCTTATCAACATTTCCATTCCACTGCCCCACCCAGGGAGCAGACACAGGTGCTCTCTGCCCTCAGATCCTCAAAACTGTCTGGAACTCTATTGTATCTCAACCACATGTCCTCACCAGGGGGGCAAACAAAGCTTCCACCTCTTTCTGGAGACTTTTGGGAGCATCAGACTTTTCCTTCTCCTCTCCCCTAGCCCTGGATTTCTTATTCTAATTTATTTTCGTAAGGACATTTTTTAAAAGATTGTATTTATTTATTTTTAGAGAGAGGGGAAGGAAGGGAGAAAGAGGGATATAAATGCTAATATGCCAGAGAAACATCAAACAGTTGCCTCTCACACACCCTCAACTAGGGACCTAGTCTGCAACCCAGGCATATGCCCTGACTGGGAATCAAACCAGTGACTTTTTGGTTTGCAGGATAATGCCCAATCCACTGAGCAACACAGGCCAGGGATGGAAATTTTTTTTAATGCCAAGACCTAGACCCAGTATACTTGGGGGAGGGAGGGTTGGACAGGGGAAGGAATTCTTTAAGCCTTTTCTC